TTTGGTTTTCTGTAAGTTATCAAATTATCAGTTTTAATATGTAATTTAAAATAATATTTTCAGTTTTTTCCAGTCCCTGATAAAAGTCTGTTTAATTACTCTGAGCCTGGTTACGGATATATGCAGATAATTTATACATGTTAGGTAGAAGATATTTCTGAGATTTCTTTTTAGAGACTGCACTGGAGTTACTCATTCATGGAGCTGTAAATCACACTAAACAATATTTACTATGTGCTTTCAGAATGAATTATTCAATCATCTACAGTGCACCTTTCAGAAACATAATTTACTAATTGTGAAGGCTGTTGACAGCTTCTTTATCTGCATGTTCATAATTCAAATGAATGAGGTGATTGCATGTGTCTCAGAGGTAGTGTGTCCTGTGATTGCCCCCTTGAAGCTTGCTAGTATTTTATGATCTTTCTAACTGAAGAAGGATCAGAGCACATAAAGGCGTCAAAACCATATGATCAGAATTCTCAGCTTGATTTTCTTGAGTACCAGAGTTGTTTTTGAATTGCAAAAAGTTTTAACATCCTAAACGTGAAGTCATTTGTTGTGTTTTAGCATTCCTCAGAAACCATGAATTGTTATAAGATGCCAGCAATTTATTTAGCCTTAAAATGCTTGAAATGTTCCATCTCCTGTGATTGTTGGATGTTAATTGCCCTCAAAAATGATCTTAGCAGAACAGGCAAGGGAATGCTTATCTGGCAGTTCACTGGTAGCATTAAAGATTTTAATAGTGCTAGAAAAACACGACAGGCAATTATTGAATGTGGCTACATACTGGGAAATAAAGACAAGAGATTGAAAAATATAATCTTCTGCTGTTTTGTCTTTATCTTATTTCCTAATTTGGTCCTTTTAAAAGTTTAATAGATTTTTTTTAAATGTTTTATGGAATACTGTTATACCTTCATTTGTAGTGATACACAATGAATTAGTCAAACATATTAAATCTTTCTAGAACAAAGGATCTAAGTTTTAAAAGGTGTCCAGTCAAAGCACTGAAGGTGACTTTTTTCTCCACCTCAAACCACAATTAAAATCAACATAAAGTCAATCACTGCAAATTACTAAAAGAATAACTACACTTTTTGAATTTTTAGTAGACAGTTTTTGAAGTGCCCCTTTGTTTCTTTGTTAGACTTTCTTCTAGATCGTTACAGAATCAAGAATACATTCAAAACATCACTGTAACCTCCTGCTTGTCTGTAACATTCTATGCTGTTATAACCTCACCAGGTACATTTGCTCCCCAGAAGAATATCTGGCAACTCATCTTGTAGAAATCTTTATTCTTCATAACAAATCTGTGATTGCATTTTTAAAACAGTTTAACATCACGCTTACAATAAAATAATATAAAGTGTATGCCCTCAACACATGTTTCTCTCCTAAGAATACATACATTAAAGTGCATACTTAACTTACCAAAACACATGGTCTGAAATAGCAGGTCTATTTATATTAACTTCCTATTTAAAACTACCTTTATGCTTACCAACTAGTACAATGAATAAATAAGACATAACACTTTCACACAATAAAATACAATCTCCAACAACATACAGAATATGAAAGAATCTCACAGTGTAATATAGAGTGAAAATGACTACAAGTCATCACATACTATGCGTTAGCTAGTTTTTCATTGCAGCAAAAAAGTATCCCTGAAAACAAAGGAAGAGGGATTTATTTTGGTTCATACTTTTAGAGCTGGCAGTGTCTTTTTAGATAACTTTGAAGTTTATGTCCTGAAGATATGCAGAATGTGGTGGAAAGTTGTCATCTGTATTCACCCGATTGCAGCCCAAGAGTGTAAAAGAAAGACCAATACACCAAATACACCTTTGGACACTACACCTAGATCTTATCTCCTACTTTGTAAAAACTTTTATTTAAATTAGAAACAATCTTATTTTACATATTAATCCTTCTCCCTCCCATCTTCCCATGCCCTCCACCAAACCCCCCATCCACTCCCTAGGGAGGGTGAGCCTTCCATGGGGGATCATCAAAGTCATTCACATCATTTGGGGCAGGACATGGGCCCTCCTCCATGTTTCTAGGTTGAGAGAGATTCCCTCCATGGGGAATGGGCTCCCAAAGTTGATTCATGCACTAGGAGTAAATACTGGTTCCACTGCCAAAGGCCCCATAGACACCCAGGCCTCTTCCCAGTAACACTATAAGATTATGAATCCATAACTAGACTAATTCATTGATGAAGTTTGAACCCACTGGTTAAGATCACTTCTGAATGGTTGGTATCATTAGCTGGGACCAACACTCAACACAGGAGGACATTCTAGGGACACTTAATATCTAAATGACATGCTGTATGATTTTAATTATGTGCAGATTTAAAAAAATAACACTATTTCACCCTGAAATAGAGAGCTGAATGAAGAATTCATACTCATTTTGAAAAGCCAGATCCTGTCATAAAGATTTTATCTGAAGGCTATACTTTTGAAATATTCTAAAATTAAAAAGTATTCTATAGTATTATAGGAAATCAGCATTTTAATATTACTTCAATCCAATACATTTTGGAAACAAGGTTATATACTAAGCCTAACATTTTAATTTAAAGATGGCCTGATTTCTCTATATTTAAAAATATCAATACTTACAACTTACTTTTAAAATATAAAGTATAAAATTAAATAAACAAGTTAATAAAATTAATTTAAGACCTAAATACTACAAAAATACCAAGCAGAGTCATTAAAAATTAAAGAGCTAGGCAGTGGTAGCAAATGGCTTTAATTAGCACTCAAGAGGCAGAGATAGGCTGATTTCTATGAGATCAAAACTGGCCTGTTATATGGAGTAGTTCCAGGAAAGGAGAAAGAAAGAAAGAAAGAAAGAAAGAAAGAAAGAAAGAAAGAAAGAAAGAAAGAAAGAAAGAGAGGAGGGGAGGGAGGGAGGAAGGGAGGAAGGAAGGAGGGAAGGAAAAAAGAAAAATTAAAGACCCAAATAAATGGAAATAATTTCCAGCTACCTGAATTGTTACCATGGCAAGATGCTCATGTATTCCTAAATATCTTTGGTTGCAGAAATTGAGATGATCTAAAATTCATATGATAATATAAGTGATTCAAAAATAACCAAATCTATATTGAGAAAGAATAAAACTGAAATATTCACACTTTCTAATTTCAAAGCTCTCACCGAAGTTAGGCTTGTCAAGTCAGAATGGGACTAGCAAAGACTAGAGACAGGGATAAATGGAATTAAACTTCAGGTCCAGAAGGAAACCCTTCCTTCAATGTGGAGGGCAAAATCTTTCAAGAAATGGGACCAGGGTGACTCAGAAAGCTGATGACTAATGCCATCTCATTCCATGGCACTCTAGGTGATGTTAGTGACCACATGCAAAAGGGTGGGCTCTTTAATCATACGGAAAATTTAAGCCAAAGACAAAGGTAAAATATATAGAACTCTCAGAGGAAAAAAAAAGAAGAATATAAACCTTTGTGAGTTTGAATTAGGTAACAATGTTCTAGACATGAAACCAAAGCACAACAAAATAGAAAAGGAATGGATTTTCTCGACATTTGAATCTTTTTATTATTTATTTATGTATTTATCCATTCATTCATTTATTAGAGAACATCCTTTTATCTACTCTTGAGAATAAATTCCTCCTATTGTATTGCCTTATCCAGCCTCAATATGGTGAAAGTATTAAATTAAATGAAAACAAAAACAACAAAATGGATATTGTTTAATTTGATCTCATTCATATAAAATGTCAATTAAAAGGCAATTTTGTAGGGCCCTATAGTAAATGATGATTGGTGGCAGATGAGAAGCAGATACTGAGTGATAACAGTAAGGACAGAATTTCAGAAAAGGAGCCTAAAAATTAAATAAAATCCTAAAATTTAGCCATACAACTCTACAAATGTACAAAATTCAAAACATAAGCTGATTTTTATGTTATATGATTTTTAAGCTCAAAATATTTGTCCCCTCATAGGTTGTGACTATGGTAATGAGAGTCATATGCATAATAAAGTCTGTGACATTGGTATAAAATGATAAAGCAGACTGACTTTGTTTCTTTCTAAAGTCAATATTACAGAAGGAGAAAGAACAGGCATTTGACTTTTGACCAGAGGAATTCTGCTTTTCCATCTATGTGCCTTGAGACTAGCAGGGATAGTTTCACATCATGAAACGTCAAGTTGATAGTGAAAAACTAATCAAAGAAAGCAGCCTGCTTCCCAATTCAGATCTATACACTATTCATTTAGCTAGTGAGCTGAATGAATGAGTCTACACCATCCCTTTCTCTGATCTCTTAACCTTGTCAATCGTCCCTCTCCATTTGTTTTCTGGTTTCTGCCTAATACAGTTAAAATTCCAAGAGAGCCAAATGGACCCAAGATGAGGTGTACCTTTAATAGTAACCGTGCTGTGGAGATATGAGGCATTGTTTGCATAAGGTCCTTCAGTTTCCCTCCTCAGAATTGACTTTCAAGGAACGGGGGACATAAGGCGCTAAGTTAAATGGATTCTTTCGGATGTTTATTGAGACAGACCAGCTTTTCTTGGGGAAGAATGCTGTGAGGTCTCAGAGTCCTGCTGGTGTGTGGCATTAATACATAAGGCATTACAGACATCTTGTGCTAGGAGATTTTTGAACAGCATTCTGGCAACACGAAGAGTGGGATGGTTAGCCGACAGGTTACTGTCAATTAAACAAGAGCTGTCACAAAGTCAGAAATGTTGAAACATGGTGGGCATGAATCCTAAGCATATCATATGGCAGCTATTCAGCTGTTATTTTAACACAGTCGTGGTATATATGTGCCATTTCCCTGAAGAATTGAATTTGAGTCCGTACGGACACAGACATCTCTGCATTTGCATCCTGCTGCCCAGTCAAATGTGGACCGTCTGAATGAGCTGGAATGGTGGGTGTGAGGCTAAGAATGACACTTAGCAACTTGCTTCTTGTTCCATTTTCCTCTACTTAGGTTACATAGAAGAAGCCTGCATCATCCCCTGCCCCTCAGACTGCAAGCTCAGTGAGTGGTCCAACTGGTCTCGCTGCAGCAAGTCCTGTGGCAGCGGCGTGAAGGTCCGGTCCAAGTGGCTGAGAGAAAAGCCATATAATGGAGGCAGACCTTGCCCCAAACTGGACCATGTCAACCAGGTATTATCCTAACACCAAATGTATTAAGGTATTTCTGAGATTCCCAAGAATCTATTATTTCTCCAAAATGAAAAACATTAAATAATAGCTCCTGAATAAGAAATATGATGGATTCTATTTTTATAAGGTCTGAGTAAAATATGTGTAGCTCACTGAAATGTAAAAGCCTGAATTATATATATTATCGCTGAACTCACTGGGGATTCAGAGACCTGCAAGCATCTAAAGAGGAGTACAATTCCAAAGAGCTGAAATGACACTATCTAATGGTAGTGTATTTAATCTCCCATACAATTGTGCCTAACTGCTGTGATGAGGTCACATACTTCTTAGGGTTTCTCTAGAATCTCAGAGTGAGTTCTCAGTTACCAAGTACTAAAGATAAAAGCAAATAAGTATTCTCTAAAATTAGGAGAAACACTATTTATTCATTTCCATCTACTTTGTGTAAAACAAATTCAAGAAAAGAAATATGAAGTGTCTCAAAGTTCATATATATATATATATGTGTGTGTGTGTGTGTGTGTGTGTGTGTGTGTGTGTATGCTAGCTACCAATTTAGCCTCTGCCTTTTCTCTTTTTCTGTTTTTGTTAAAAAATGTTTTTTTATTTCGCATACCAACCCCAGTTCCCACTCCTTCCCCTTCTGCCCCCACCACCTGCTCCCCTTCCCACTCCCCATCCATTCCTCAAAGGGGGGTAAAGTCTTCCTTGAGGAATCAGCAAAGTCTGGCATACCAAGATGGGGCAGAACCAAGACCCTCCCCTCTGTAGCAAGGCTGAGCAAGGTATCCCACCATAGGGAATGGACTCCATAAAGTCAGTTCATGCCCCTGGGTTAGATCCTGGGTCTCTGCCTTTTCTAACATTGGAGCTGTATTAGGGCTCGAATGCGTACTTTGTTAGCTGCTGCCAGTGGTTGTTATTTGTATTCTATTGGCGATAAAGAGTAAAACGGCTGGCTAATGATGGAATTGTGATTAATTTAAGTGTAACAGAACAGACAATTGTTATCACAGTTGATCAGCATGTAAATTAGCACAGAATGGATTTATAGAGTGTGTACAGATGTTATGTTTTGAATTTGAGCCATGATCAAATGAACCAAGTATTTAAATATGTAAAGCTGTTTCATGGGGACATAGCATGTCTCATTTTAACCTCTAACTACATTGCTATCAGATGTTTTCTTCTGATTAACCTAAGATTGTTGATAATAAAACAATCACACTACATAAAGAGTAAATAAGTATTTTAAACAAGTATTACTTAATTATATTATCCTAATTTTAATTATATATTAGGTAAATAATAAATGTTAGTAAGTATTGTAAGTAGATAAAAATGAACACATTGAAGAATTAAATCTATGGAAAGTATTCTCAAACAGTCTGAAGTTTTCCAAAGTGGGTGAGTATCGCCATCTCCTGGCAGTTGAGCTGCCTTGTCATTGAATAATTTGTATTCCTACACTGCAAGTGTTCATTTCCAAAGTAGGCATTCATCTGCACAGCTGTCATTGTGTGACTATGAAACAGAATAGCAGAAGTGACATGTTTATGATCCAGAAGAATGCTTGTCTACGACTTAGGAAATTCTGAATTTCCCAATGACAAAATTAAATATTAATAAATTATAATCCATGGTCCTAACAAAGAGGAAGGGCACATACACACAATACCTCATGTGTGTATGTGTGAGTCAGTATGCAATGTAAATACACCATGTTTTCCTGAGCACTTCTGTTTCCTAAGTTGTCTGTACTGTACAAATCACTACACTAAGATCTTTTCGTTGTTATATTCTAATATAAATAGGGATTTGAATATTAGCAAAATAGTCAAGGAAATAAAATACACAAAATGTGCATAAATGTTTTTAAAATATAAAGCATGCATATTTTTGCTACAATAAATTCCTCAGTAAAAAGACAGCAGTTCGTTGATTTGAAAGTGGTCTGTGAGGTTCTGTTTCCTAGCTGAAGTTAAGTCCTAAGATTCTTATTTCACTAGAAATGGATGGATGGATTAAAGTGGATTAAAGGATAGATGGATCTGTATATGGCTCAATATATAGATAACAGTCCATTGATTAGTTGGCTCATAAGTTATTTGCTGTCATAGTTCAGTTTTCCACGACAGGCACTGTGAGATCCACTCCGTTTTTGAAGCTTTGCCACCCTGCACATACAATCCTTCCCTTCCTTGTCCAATCCTTGTCTGTACATTTTAGATTTAAGCAGGATTAAATTGTTGATTTATCTCTCCTGATAATCTTTTGCAAAAAATAATTTTTGCAAAAAAGTCCTTATAACTGAAATGTAGCTTTTGAGCTCTTATCAAAATAACTGACATTTTAACCTTTCTCTTTTCTTATACTTTTTTGGATTCCTGCCAAACACCACTCCAGGCACAGGTAAGCTCTCTTATTTCCTGATTCTTCGGAGTTTCTAAAAAGACATTACTTTCTTCACTTCCTTGATCTAGTGCCTATTTATTTTATTTAGTTACTAGACTTTATTTATAGAACCTGAGGAGTTGGGGTAAAGTAAATAGGTTTCACCTATCCCACTTCGATGAGGCAATGGCATCCCTTATTTATGCTTGAAGGAGAGAGACAGGGTGGGCTGAAAATGGTTATTTGGAAATGCCTATGAAATAATTTGCATTTACCCCAACAAAAGAGGAATAATGGTCCTTCTATCAAAGGATTAGGAATAGCAGCAGGTCCCCTTCATTTCAATTCTTCCATTCCCTTGGAGTGGTGGGTGATGTTTAGCCATGTGATAATAGTACTGTTTTAAGAAACCTCTTAACTATGCTGGCTGTGGCATTAACTACAGTCCTATTCGAACACTGCAGATGTTTTACTCTTATTTAGGGTAGTTCTGCCTTTTTTTTTTTTTTTTTTTTTTTTTGGTTTTTTAGTCCTCCAAATGTGAAAAATAGCTCCCAAGGACTGTTTAAATCTGTTTCCTGGAACTTATTACATAAACCATTTTGTATGTGAAAGAGTGTGAAGAAGGAAACAAAATTGGATTTTTACATGTTATGAAAATGTTTTTAAATATTTTCATCTAATGATTTGTATATTTGGTTGCAGTAGATTGTGGTCCATTTATTTCTTTTACTTATTTTTCTCATTGGAAAACACCATTATTGCTTCATTGTTCCAGAATTCCTGAAACAAACATAATACACTTGAAAGCTTTGTGAGAAATAGCCACAAATAGCTGGCTGTGTTCTGTGTTGTCTTGAATTCTAACAGTTGTATCTATAGCTATATATCATGTAAAGCTAATTTAGAACAATATTTCCATACCTCAAGTGATTGAGAATTAGTCTTAAAGATTATTTGTTTATCATTTTAGTTTCTTATATGAAAAAATGTAATTCTTACAACTATACACATTTATATGTAAAGCTGGCTAAACTATATTTATTTGGAAAACAGATATTTTTACCATAGTCTTCATTCATTCGTTCATTCATTCATTTGACAAATCTCCACCAAGTATTTAGGATATGAGTGCCCTAAGCTAAGGAATAAAGGCACATAAAACCTTTAACAAACTAAACAGTCCAGAAGATCATAAAATAATGTGCTAAATGCCAGTTTATGAAAATACATTTTGAATCTGGCCCAGTGGATTAGATCTATACCCACTGTGTGAAAACAGAGAATGCAGCTCAACCCACCTTCTCTCTCTTTACTATACTGGATCTTTCTTACTACTTGAGAGTATGAACAATAAGGGGGAGGAATAAAAACAGAACTGATGGAATACTGACTGTGATGATACAGGTGTCTTCCATCCACCCACCCCTCTCTCATTCCACTGCCTGAGATTAGCAGATGTGTGTTTCAGGTGTATGAAGTCGTACCATGCCACAGTGACTGCAACCAGTACATATGGGTCACAGAGCCATGGAGTGTCTGCAAGGTGACCTTTGTGAACATGCGAGATAACTGTGGAGAAGGTGTGCAGACCCGTAAAGTGAGGTAAGACCAAGCAGAATGACAGAGAGGCAGCATGACAATCATCTCCCAATTTCATTGTACTGAAACTTTTGTTAGTTTTGGTTTTAGGGATTGTGGGCACCTCAAGAGGAAGTTTATGTATTCTAGTTTGTGACTTTAAAAGCTCCACTTTATAATACTTCTTAAAAGTTGCATTTTTATTTTTGAGATTATTATTATATCCCCCCTTCCTTTCTCCCTCTAGAAGTGCCCCTAATATCACCCCTTGCTTTTTTGAAAATGCATGGCCTACATTTTCATTAATTGCTGTTACATACATGTATGGTTATACAGATAAAGATTGAAATATAGATTCCTTAATATAAATACATCCTCTAGGCCTGTATGTTACTTGTAAGTGGTATGTATGTTATCAGGGCTGACCATTGGAAATACATGTTGAAAGCAAACATTATAGGTGTGGATGTTAAACCTCAGAGGCTTCTTAAAAGCCAAACATGCTTCTTTTGTGCACATGTTTGTTGGTTTTTTGTTTGTTTGTTTGTTTGTTTGGGGTTTTTTTTTTGTATATGTTCATTTGTGTGTGTTGAGGTCAGAGATTAACACTGGATGTTTATCTCATTCATTGCTGGCCTTATTTTTTGAGTTAGGGTCTCTTGGAGTCCCAGGGATAGATAATACCTATCCTCAGTGCTAGGTTTGGTGCTGTAGAGCCTACTATGTTTGTCACATGAGTGATGGAAATTGAACCCAGGTCCTCAGGCTTATGTGGCAAGCACTCTGACTTTCTAAGCCATTTTCCCTAGCAGAAAGGACAAATATAGTTTGCAAATACACATTTCCAAATACCCCTTCTTGACTTCCTGCTCCTTTCTGTCAACCTGGCTAGCATTTGAAAACCCTCATCTCCTTCAGGAAGCCTTCTCTTGAGCCTGTAGTTAGCTATTGCCTCTCACTTATTCAAATGTAGTTATCTTGTGTGATAGAGTACTGGTCATGTATGGATATTTCAATTTCACATTTAACTAATAAAGTGTTGAATGCCTTCCTTCATTCTCACTACTCATAATTTCAATTTCTCAACTGACACATGTGGCTGTTCTATTGGACAGCACTGATGTGGAACATTCCTGTCATCCAAAGGGTCTAAAGTATAATTGTAATAATAAATGCAGAATTTGGCATCAGTTCATTCTCATCTATAATTTATCTTGAGTTTTAGAATTATGTAATAGTGTCACAATCTATTTTTGTAGAAAGTTTTTGTTCAGTTAATGTTAATATCATAAACTTTACATTTTACATTTTGCATGTTAAATATGTAAATATGTATAAATTTGTTTCTGATTTAAAAAAAAAACACTTTCTATTTGTCTCAAAGACCCACTTACAATTTCTATGGACCATAATAAAGGTAGGCTAAAGATGAAGATAGGAAAGAAGGCAATAAGTAGATAGGAAATGAAAAAGAAAAAAGAGTTCATGTTCTCTACACTTCTACTTCTAATTTAAAACTTTTAACTCCAAACATACAAAATCATATCCTTATGTGAAAACTTTGGGTAGGTTGCTATTTTGTTAGTGGAAAATAATAATGCAAGAATGTGCATTACACTTTTCCTTCAACTCTTGTGTACATGCTTCTTTTTGCTTTGTAGATAGTTATTTTTCAATGTTTCCAAACACATTTGAAACAAAGTAACTTTTCAGATCAACTTATGTATTGAGGTTGATGCAATAGAGAGAAGGGTCACTATTGATCGTGATCTCAGCTCACGTAATAATGTGCCTGTTTCTTCCTAATTGAGTGGTACTCTATCCTCTGATAATTAGGGTCAGTATGGCCTGCCTGTGTACAAATGTGGACTGACATTTCAAAATAGATGAGTCTATAAAAGGACAGGTTTGTATTTGCCTGATTTCAATCTTTCTCAGTGTGAAAAGTGGAAGTGGTTCTTCCTAACAGGAATTCCTTCCTCCCCTGCTTCCTGCCTGCCTGCCATTTTTCTTCCATCCTCCTTCCGCCCTCCTTGCTTCTCCTCTTTTTCCTTTCCTTCCTTCTTTCTTTTCTTCCCTTCCCCTAGTGCTAGGAATCAAGCCATGATCTCAAGGATGCTAGACAAAGAAAGGGCATGCTGTCAATGACATTTTTTTGTTTTCACAATGTTATGCACACAATGACAATAGAAATAAAAAGAAGCAGTTTTAGTTGCTGTTTCTGCAGCTGCAGTGTTTTATTGATACAGACACCCTGTATTCACCTACATGTTATGAGTCTGTTACCTCCAAAGTGGTCTTGCAGTTGATGTTCCTAATATACTTCAGTCTTCCCAAAGAACTAGATTGCTCTCTAGAAAAAATAGAAAGGCCAAGGCAAAGAAGGAAACAAATGTAAAATATATTTATTTGGGCTTAAGCTCGATCCAAACATTTATTCTGAATTTTAAGTAGAAAGAAATGTTCATTCAAATAAAACAAATACACATCTTGGTTGGTAAAATTTATTCCTATCTTATGAAATGGAAATATGTTTTAAAATAATAATTCATTTTAAAATAAATCAAGTCTGCTAAGAGAAGTTACCTCTGAGAGGTTGATTTGCAGTTTATTTTTCATTCTGAGTTTTGTGTGATTTATAGAATACAAAATTTAAAAAGATAAAATCCTTTAAAAATAAACTTGTATGTATGTAGCTACCTATCAGAATATTGGACATTTGTTCTTAACTTGGATCAATAGGCAATTTTACAAGTTAATCCTGTGTGCTAAATCAGTATCTGCTAAGAATGTGATCTTAGCATCAATTCCACACTTTGAGTGTGAAACTGCTTGCCCTATCCATGTCTTTGCCAGGCCACTGTCAAAAGAATATTTTTAGAATGGTACTAAAGATAGGACTTTTCCTACATAACTAAAAACCCTTTTAAATAAATTTCTAATTAATTTTTCAACAATTAAATCACAAAGTACCTGCTGATTTATTTTTGTGTATGATTTTTCAAAAAATCATAAGGATCGGTATTTATGTAGTTTTTTTTTTTTTTTCAGATTTCATGCCCAGTCAAGATACAATTATCAACAGTTTCCCAAGCTTTCAATGTCTCACTTAAAAGAAATATTTTCTTAAATTTGGTATCAATATAAACAGTAATCTTTCAGAGTATTTTTTAAAGACACAGTGTCCTTCCTCCTGGAAATCTCTGAGCAAAGATGGGATGTCAGGCATATAACTGTGGCATATCTCAACCGACTACTAATTCATGGCCCAGGAGGTTTAAGAGCCCATCTTCATTTTCAGCTTCCCAAAGGCAGCTCCCTTCCAAAACCCATTAATTTAGTTGACCTTTTCTACATTATAGATTAAGGATCAAGGTGTTCTCTCCTACTGTTAAAGTTCACAGAGAGATTATTAACTAAGGCAAAGGGAAACCATATTAATTACCTTCTCAAGAGATCAGTAAAGAGTAATTCTTAACTGTTCATAATAGAATAGTATGAACTAAGTTTTAAATTTGTTCTAATAAAATGAAAACTAACAAGAAAAAAATCAAGATAGAAGGTCCAAATAACCACACTTAGAGAAGTTGTGCTGTTTTATTTATACTTTTCTTTTGGTTTCTGGCTTTCTTTAGAAGTTAGCAGATGGGAAACTGAAATTGCCTTTTTAATGGATTTTAAAACTATTTTACTTTATTTTTTTACACAAGCATAACCACACACACACAAACACACGTCACTCACACACACATACACACACACACAAACACATACAGACATACATTCACACATCTCATGTACCATCTCTCTTACACACAAGTCTGTCACACACATGCACAGTCATACACACTCACACATCTCACACAAATACACAACCACACTGGAAAGCACACACAGATGCATACACACACCACACACAGAAGAATACACATACCACACAAGTCTCACATACACACACACAACCAAACATATGCATACTCTCACACACACACATTTCACATGTCTTATACACACACACATCACACTCAGGTCTTACACACACACACACACACACACACACACACATATGTTGGGCCCTTGTAGAGGATAATTTGCAGGAATTAGTTTTCTTTCCTATAATGTGAATTCTAAGAACTGGAATCTAGTCATCAGGTTTGATTCCAAATGGCTTTCCTCACCGAGTCATCTTGCTGGCAGCTAAAATGGCTTTTAAATGATAAACTGATAATTGCCTTATCTTGGAATTCACCTTATGAAGCGTTTTGTGTGAATATTGCACTGTACCTAAACCTCCATCACCTATGAGTCAACTGTATCTTCTCTGAGAATGTCTTCGGATCATTTTTCAAATGTAAAAACCACTTCCCTTGCAAAGAAACATGATAGCATTTGCCAATGCATGGAAGCTATCTTATTAAAATACTATGAGTGAGCATCTGAGCATACTTTTTTTTTAATCTTAAAGGAGTACAAGCTATATTTAGAGAGGCATGGTTTCTTATTCTTCACTTTGGGAGAAGGTTATTCATCAGATGGTGTCTTAATGAGAACTACCCATCCTGTGTATTGGCTGCCATTCTAAATGTCCTGGTTACTTTGCTGATATGCTTGCTTTTGTTTAGATGCATGCAGAATACAGCAGATGGCCCTTCTGAACATGTGGAGGATTACCTATGCGACCCAGAAGATATGCCCCTGGGCTCTAGAGAGTGTAAACTACCGTGCCCTGAGGATTGTGTGATATCTGAGTGGGGACCATGGACCCAATGTGCTTTGGTGAGATTATGATCCATTTGGGTAAAATGGAGTTTGCTTAATTTTTGAAGGTTTAAGAAAAATAATCTCATTGGAAAAAAATCTCTTTGTGATCCAAGCTTGAAAAGTGAGGTGAGCTTTCTTTGCTACTTCCTTGGATGAGTAAGTCATGTAAATTCAGCAGTGTTTTTCCAACATCTTGACTTCTTGCAAACCCTTTGCTCCTTTTCAAATGTGCTCCTAAACCAGCACATGATGCCTTCAGCTGGCCTCACAGATTACACAGAATGTTAAATTCTGCAGTGGTCATAAAGATTTCCTTTATGGAAAGTGAGGAAGGAATGAAACTCTAGTGAAGTTTCTTTAATGGTGTTAGATTGCTATCCCTTGCTTCAAATCTTTTAATGTAAACAGCAGAGAATGCCACACCAGGAATGCTTACACTAGAAAGTGAAAGATCCTGAGGAAGAAATTGAAGAGGAAGAAGGTTACACATGGTGAGACATGAAATATTCTTCTTAGATGATTGTTTGTGGACATTTAAAACAGAATCCAAGTGGTTGTAGTTTCTGTTCAGTGAACCTGCCTTTAGAATCCCTGTTGATGAATATAAAATCAGCCTGAGTTCAGCAGCCTCTATTTTATAAGAGGACAAGTTTGTAACAGAATCTGTGGTGATTTGAATTCATCTGTGGAATCCACTATTTCCATATGAAGGAAAAGATCATGTGCCAAAACAGCACTCTTCCTGAACATCTCTTCTTAGAACTACTTCTTATTAGTGTCTATCTCAAGAGGGGACTTGGAATGTTATTTCCCTTATAAAGTAAGTTCATCTGTGTATTAGTCAGGGTTCCCTAGAAGAACAGAAGTTATACAGTTTATATATTAAGTAGGGAAGGGAGATTTATCAGAGTGTCTTACGGGATGTGGTCCAGCTAATCCAACAATGGCTAACATCAACTGAAGGACTGCTCATTCCAAGAGGCTGAATGTCTCAGCTGGTCTTCAGAATATTCCAGAATCCCAAAGTAGGCTCTAAGGAGTGAACTTGCTAGTGAGAGCAAGGTCGAGCCAGCAGAGACCATCCCTCTTCCAGGTCCTTTATATAGCCTACCAACAAAAGGTGTGGTCCATATTAAGGGCAGATCTCACCTCAAAAAACAAGTATGTATTAAAAGTGTATCTTCCAATTTCCAAGATCTGGATTAAAGGTGTATTTTCTCACTTCAAATTATTTAATTAAGGAAAATTTCTCACTGATGTGCCCAGCCATTTAGATTTTAGTTGTTGTCAAATTGACAACAAAAACAGCCTTCACAGCCCGACAGTCATACATAGTCTGCTTCTTGACTCCTAGAAAACCAAATGAGTTCAAACTTGACAAATCTGTGGATTTCAGTAAGAGTCAAAACCCTACCACCCAGCTAGAGGAAGGGAATCACTTGAAACAATAGGAAAGTAGCATCTCAGAGTTACTGTTGCTATGATGAACGATCATGACAAAAGGAGCTTGGGAAGTATAGGGTTTATTTTACTCACACTTCCATACTTCCAGTTTACCATCAAAAGCAGTGAGAGCAAGAACTCATGAATGACAGGAACCTGGAGGCAGGGGCTCATGCAGAGACCATGATGGAGTACTTCTTTCTGGCTTTCTCCCCCTTTCTTGCTTGCTCATCCTGTTTTCATATAGAACCCAGGAGTACAAGCTAAGTACCACACCGCCAACAATGGCCTGGACCCTTAATTTAATTAATTTATGTAATTATGTAATTATTAATTAAATAATTAATTTTATTTAATTGTTTGATTAATTTAATTAAGAAAACCTCTACTGGCTTGCCTATAGCTCATTATGGAAACATTGTCTTACTTGGTGGTTCCCTCTTCTCAGACAATGCTAGTCTATGTCAAGTTGCCATAAAACTACCCGGCATAGTTAGGTTAGCCCTGCACAGTTGTGAAAAGCAATATAAAAAAAAAAAAAAAAAAGGAAAGATACACCTAATGTTAAATTCCTTGAGTTACAGTGAAGGACAGCTTCAGCCATGCTTATAGTCTGTGCTTTCCAAGGAGATTTGACTTTTTGTCCCTGTTAAAATGCAAGCTGGAAACCAATTGACTGTTCAGAAACAAAACAGGCCCAATATATCATTTCAATAGATATTGAAAGAAAAGTGAAGGCTCCACACTTCATAAGGGTCTGCAAATGAATCTCTGTTCTAATTCTGCAGTTGAACTACATTCTATGGTGTCTAATTCTGTTTACACTGATGAAATACTTATCATCTGAGATTCCTTTAGAAGAACATTCAGCTTATATAAAAAGGAGGCTGTTGAACTTGGGCTACTTTGTAAATTCCTTAGCAGGGATGCCAGTAACAATGAATAGGAACTCTGTCCATCTGGGCTCTGTTTTAAATATCCATAAGTAAACATTTTAGAAAAATATTGAGTTCCACCATGTGTGACAAGAGTTTGTGAAATATATTTTGTTTTCTTGAGCATTTGCCAAAAGAAATTTTGAGGTGAAACTAAAATTTAACTAGTTGAATAAGTGTGCATTTTGGACTTATAAGTTACCTTGTTTTATCACCTATAACATCTATAAACAAATGCAAAGCATTTACCATGTGTGGAAAAACCATGGTTCAAAGAATATACAGTATAGAAAACAGAAATTGTTCAATGTACGCACACTGGATATGGTAGCAGGACCTTTAAACAATTAGCATTCTCTAAATACAGTAAGTATTCCTTCAGTGGTTTGACCAAAGAGAGCAAAGGACAAGGCAATAACTACTTAAGGCCTAAGAAACCCAAAATATTTGTCCTTTCCTTTTCTAAGAAGCCAGATGTTTTCAGAAAGATACACCAATATGAAAATAGCCAGCCACTCTATAGATATTAAATTGTTTATGTGAGGATGAGCATTAGAAAAATAAAGGCAATTAATACCTATATAATTATTTGAAGTCACCACTCAAATAGTTTGCCAATTGATACACATATACACACACATGAGTGTAAACATGTATACACATACATACACTTTTATGCATATACATCAAATCATTACAGCATATGGGAACTAACATTCTTTGTTACTGAATATGGACATATGATGAACGTGTTTATATAGATGTAATAAAATGACTTAAGCATCTTCTGGCCAGGAAGGCACATCAGACTCTTAGTCAATGCCAACATTTTGCATATGGGAACTCTGAAACATAATGAGATTAACTGACTTGTTCAAATTAGCCAATAAATTGGGTGCTCTAATGCCAGCTCCAGTAACACATTAGCTGTTGTATGGCTGAGCTTATCCTTCTTTAAAAAAATGGTACTGTTTTTTGTAAGCCTTGCAACCCAAGTGGTTCCCGGCAAAGGTCAGCTGAACCCATCAGACAGCCTGCTGATGAAGGAAGAGCCTGCCCCAATGCTGTGGAGGAAGAACCCTGTAATCTGAACAAAAACTGCTACCACTATGACTACAATGTCACAGGTAAGCACTCCATCATATCTTCAGAGAGTCACATATAAATAAGCTCCAGACAGTCTCATCTGCTTAGACTAGCTACACTGTGTGCCATTTGGAGACACAGTTTACACTCTGAGCAATAATGACAGGAAGAAGTAGTAATCTGTTTTATATTTTGAATTATGTGATAAATATTCCAGATAAACCGATTTAAAACCTTCTCCCACTTTGGGAAGGTGCAACTCTACTTTCCTTTTTAGCCGATGTTAGTTATAACATCTACATAAATAGTTTTTGGGGTGCAAGGACATTTATGAATAACATTAGCATGATGTAAAATTCTCTCATCTTAAAAATAAATATTCAACTGTCTCTACGGGTTTCTGTAGTCTGGTCTTGACCACTTTGCTTATTACTCCTTCTCGCAACTGGATTCAAGGAGTTTGCTGTGGGTGTCTGCTTCTGTTTCCATCAGCTACTAGATGAAGGCTCTCACTCAGGATGGTTTCTTCAAGTTCCATCCATTTGACTGTGAATTTCAAGATTCCATTTTTTTTCCCGCTGAGTGGATTTCATTGTGTAAATGTACCACATCTTCTTTATCCATTTTTCAGTTGAAGGGCATCTAGGTTACTTCCAGATTCTAGCTATTATAAATAATGTTGGTATGAACATAGCTGAAAAGATGTCTTTGTGGCATGGATGTGGATCATTTGGGTATATGCCTAAGAGTGGAATTATCTGGGTCCTGTGGTAGACTATTTCCCATTTTTCTGAGGAACCACAATACTGATCTCCAAAGTGGCTGTACAAGTTTGTACTCCCACCAGCAGTGGAGGAGTGTTCCCCTCTCTCTATATCCTCTCCAGCATAAACTGTCATTGATGTTTCTGATTTTAGCCATTCTGACAGGAGTAAGATGGTATCTCAGAGTTGCCGTATTTGCATTTGCCTGATGGCTAAGACTACAGAAACCCACAGAGACAGCAGACCTGAACAAGGGGGAGCTCATGGACCCCAGACTGATAGCTGAGAAACCAGGATTGGACCAACCCAGACCCCCTGAACATAGGTCTTAATTAAAAGGCTTGTGCAGTCTATGGGACCTTTGACAGTGGAACCAGGATGTATCCCTGGTGCATTAAAAAACTCTGGGAGAACATTCCTCATGAAGGGAAAATCCCTTAACCTAGAGGCAGGAGGGTGGGCCTAGGCCCTACTCCAAATGACTTAAAAGATTTTGATGATCCCTCCTGGAAGTCCTCATCCTCCCTGTGGAGTGGGTAGGGAATGGGATGGGAGGAGGGTGTTAGGGGACATGGGAGTATTGGAGGGAGAGGGAACTGGGATTGATATGTAAAATAAGAAAAGAAAATAATAATTTTAAAATGCACTATAAAAAATAAATAAATATTCAAAAAAAGTAGATTTGTAATAAATTACATTTGTTTCCTCCATTTTATTTAGTATTATCTAAGCTTCACATCAAAAATATTTCATTGGTTCCTTTGGTTAGGTACAACATCAAAGCAAAGTTGGATTTTTCCCAAGTAATTTCCACATTGAAGCAAGATCAAGAAATTGCAAACAGAGACATCACAGTCACATTGGCTTCTGTTTCTTAGTTTTCTCTCCAATTTTGTTTTGATGACACAAAGGAAATCAAAGTTCTCTAGAATATGTTTCCTAGCCTGGAGAAAGATGAAAGTGATTTTTGGAAAAGATACAAAATAAGAGAATTTAATAAATATGCTGAAGTTATTTTGGAAATAAATGAGTTTGCATTTTAAAAAACACTCAGACTTAAGGAAATAAATTAACTATATGGTATTAATATAACTACATAGAGTACCATCCCTTAAAATTATGCTAAAATTTGCTAAAAGAGGCATAATAGCAAATTTTTAAATTCTACTCCTTGAGAAAAAAAAAAACCATTTGAAATGGTATTGATCTATAGAGCAAAGCCGATTTTACGATATCACTAAATAGCTAGCTGTCGAGATTGTCAAGTAGACACCTGACTTAAAAAATAATCCCCACCGCTATGTGCAACCCCAGCAATTCCATTTGACTGCCTAATGTGTTCAACTCTGGGACCCACATGCTCTGTATGGGGGATGATTGATTGTGGGGCTTAGGAAAAGCAGCTGGGAATCAGGTATGGGATTCGGGTCATCAGAGTTTCCTCTGAAATCTGTTTGTGCATCGCCTTCTGTTCTGACGGGTCTTTTCTGTTCAGACTGGAGCACGTGTCAGCTGAGTGAGAAGGCAGTTTGTGGAAATGGCATTAAAACAAGGATGTTGGACTGTGTTCGAAGTGATGGCAAGTCCGTTGACCTGAAATATTGTGAAGAGGTGGGTGAGTGCTGTGTTAAGTCTCCCTAGGAAATTCTTTCCTGACAATTTAAATTCACATGGAGCCGCGTGACGTAAGCTCCACACAGTGCATGGTCAACAGCTGTTTTCACAGCCTGTCTAGTGCCCTCTTGAATAGAGACAGTATCCACACGACTGATTTCCACAGATAATTTCCTGTATTTTGTTCTGCATGGAGCCCAAAGGTATGCTAATTAGCCCATTCTAGAAGAAATGCTTAGGAAACAATAAGCAATCAAGGTGAATAAAGGCAATAAATCTTAATCAGACCCACTCATCATCTTTTGTAATTTGAGGTGAATTGGATGCAGAGTTTGGACACCTGCCAAGATCCATCATTTATTCTTTCTATTGCTAAACATTGGTCACATGCAGTTTCATAGCAGATTTTGATATTAAGATCTGATAGCCAGCTGTGAGAATCTAAGTACTTAGGTCTCATGTCTGGATAAGAAAACTTAATGTTCTAGGGAAGAAATGAAGTCTTGAATGTAGTTTATAGTTAATCGGTAGATGAAAGTAATGCCATCACCTTATCTATGACCTTCTGAGCAGTAGGGAAACATGGCATTGACCTTTCTTTTCAAGAAGCTGAATCTTTTAGTGAGTTTTATCTGATCTCCAAACCAAAGAGGCAGTGGTGTCCCCGTCGTTTGGCTCTCTGTGCTTCTGAGATCTATAGGGTTATTATCAGACCAAATTAAGAGATTTAATAGATCTGGAACACAATGGCCTTAACTCTTAAGAGAAAGCCATCCATGGAACTACTTGAACCCACTTAGTGCCACTGTCAAGTGCATGGAACTTTAACTTCTTTATATCTCCATCTATAGGGATAGACTTTCAGATTCTCTAAAAACATCCAGTTGTTTAGCTAATAAATGCCTGCCACTAAAAACTTGTGACATGAGTAGACCTATTCATATGTTATGTTCAAGTTTTTAGACTAATGCTATTTAAGCCACCACTAAATAGCACTTTTGTGAGTGAAGATTACAACAATCACAAACTTCCCAGAGAGTGGTCTGTGATCTAGCACAAGCTGGTGGTGAGTGTAGTCTCTTTCATAAATGCCTGGCAAGGTTCCCTCCTTACAAGAACATGAAATGAGACCTCTCTGAAAGGGGAGCCCAATGCATCTAAGACTACTATAAACAACTCCATATCACATGTGTTCTGCAGGCACAACTGCAGGTTCAAATTCAAACATCCTGGCAAATTCTGGCTTCAGGGAAATCTAAGCTACTCTCTGTGGGAATTAAACAGCACACATACCATTTTACACATCCCTGTGAATCCAGCTGGCTCCACAAACCACTGTGCTGTCTTTGTAAACAATGGTCAGACCACCCACCAACCAACCTCTGTGCAAACGCTGCACTCAATTCAGCAGCAGTAGGTAACTCTTGCTGCTTCCTTAATAGCCTCAAAGAAATATGTCATTACTGCCCAACAAAGAGGAAAATTAGGGTTAAATTCACTTGCGTTTATGTAGTATACTTTCCCCTTTGGTGTTGAGGTTTTTTTTTTTTTTTTTAACTCATTTCATACCTAGTATTTGTGTCTTCTTTTCTATTCTTAAAACCTAAATATATTATTAAAATTTCCTTAGAAACATATGTGCACATGAATAGATGGATTGATTTGGGCAGATGATCTGCATGCATACATAGATAGATGAATAGATGATGATTTAGATAGATCGTAGATAGATAATAGAGAGAGATGCATACATACATAGGTATACAATGGTGATGATTTAGTTAGATGACAGAGAGATTAGAGAGACAGAGAAATAGATTGAAAACCAGAGGAACAGAGTAAAAAGATGAAATAGATATCAGGAGAAAGAAACAGAGAGATTTAAAGTATAATTAATGGAAAGCCAAAACACTCTCTAATGAAGTAAGTCAGTAATATTTGAATCTGTGTTAAATGCTCCATCATGACTAGAGAATATCATAAATGTTTCACATCATATTCACTCTATCACCCCAAGATTTGTCTCTCTACCCTTCTGTATTTCTTAATTATTTTTAGTGGCCTGGAATAGCTTTAAATGCCAAATGCTCAAGTCTATCAACTATATCTAGTGTAGATTATAGTGGGATGCCTGATGAGGAATATAGTATCCAAAAAAAAAAAAAAAAAAAAAAAAACATGTTGATCTGATCATTACACTGGATAGTATATATTTAAGTATAGCTAAAATGAATTGCAATGATCAGAAAATATTTCTTGTTATCTTCTGGATTTGATTAGACAATACAAATTAAGGGTGGTGGCGGCACAGTCAGGAGGCAGAGGTAGGCATGTCTCCATGCATTCAAGGCCACCCTGACCTGCAGAATAAATTCCAGTACAGCCAGAGCTACACAGAGATACTTAGTGTCAAAAGAAAAAAGGAAGGACTACAGGAAGGAAATGCAAATGAAGATACTCGTATCGTATCGGCATACAAAGTGTTATGCTTCATTATGACATTCCTCGTATTTTCTCAGATGCTCTTTCCCTCTTGTACTCTTCCATGCCTCCATAACCTCCTTTGCTCTTTTCTACCGCGATTTCCTTTCCCTTCCTCTTTTTCTTCAGCATTTCCTGCCCCATTCTCATGGTCTCTTGTCTAATTGCAGAGTGTATATTCACTCTCAAGACCACACAGTTACATATGCACAGCACTAAAAGTTTAAACTTCTTTTCGTGTAAAACAGAAAAGCTTTCACAGTTCTGAGAATTACCATTAAAAATAAAACTTTGTCTTCCTGCTATAATCTTAATATTTTACATTTTAATGCTAAATTTATACCTTGGACTTCACTTAACAGGTTGGGCTGTATGATGAAAGAATTTGAAACTTTGTCTTCTATAAACTATAATACATAAGTCACAATGACAGAGCCAAAATGCAAATAAAATAGTACACCATGACATCATCATGAGACACCAAACACACACACACACACACACACAAACACACAAACACACACACACACACACAAAACACCTGAACTATACTAAAGAAAGTCATATAAAACATTTATATTCAACAGTTTCTGAGGATCCACTTTTTTTAATTTTTATAATATATTTATTCTTTTGAATTTCATTTTATATTCTAATCACCATTCTCCCTCCCATCACTCCTCCCATTCCCCTCCTATCCCCTCCAGCCCATCCTCTTTCTATTCTTCCCCATGGGTAAGGGGTCCCATGAGGAGCCAACAAATTCTGACACAATAGGTTGGGAGCAGGAATAAGTCCCTCTCCCATGCATTAAGACTAAGCGTGGCATCCCACCACAGGGAATGGGCTCTAATAACCTAGCTCATGTACCAGGTTTGTTCTACTGCCAGGGTCCCCTCAGATAGTCCAAGCTTCACAACTGTCTGCCAGATACAGATGGCCTAGTTTGGTCCTATAGAAGCTCCACAGATGTCAGTCTTAGAGTTCATGAGTTTCCACGAGCTTGGTTCAGCTGTATCTGAAGATTTCTCCATCATGATTTTGACCTCCTTTGCTCATATATTCCTACCTCCCTCTCTTTGACTGGATTCCTAGAGCTGGGGCTGGGGCTTGGTTGTAGATCTCTGTGTCTGGTTCCATGGATGTCTGGATGATGGCTCTAAGATGATAGTTTGGGTATTCACCTATCTGATTACAGGGGAATGCCAGTTTGAGCATCCTCTCCACTATTGCTAGGAATCTTAGCTGAGGTCATCCTTGTGGATTCTTGGGAATTTCCCTAGCACCAGGTTTCTAGCTAATCCCATAGTGGCTCTCTCTATTAAGACATCTTGAAATGTACAGGCAAATGGATGAAACTAGAAATATAATCCTGAGTAAAATAACCCAGTCACAAAAAGACAAACACAGTATGTACTCACTCATATATCGTTTTTTAGACATAGAACAAAGGATTACCAGCCTACAATACACACCACCAGAAAAGCTAGGGAACAAGGAGGACCTGAAGAGTGACAACCACAAGTCCCCCGGGGAAGGAGAAAGGCACAAGATCTCCCAAGCAAATTGGGAGCATGGAGGGAGAGGAGAGAGAGCTAGGAGGAAGAGGAGGGGAGAGGTGGGCATGAGGGAGTAGGAAGATTGAGTCGGGGAAAGAATAGACAAGAGCAAGACAAGAGATACCATAATAGAGGGAGTCATTACAAGTTTTAAGAAAAATCTGGCACTAGGGAAATGTCCAGAGATCTACAAGGATGACCCCAACTAACAAGTTAAGCAGTAGTGGACAGGCTACCTTAAATGCCCTTCCCCAATAATGAGATTGATGACTACCTTATATGCCTTCATCTAGTAACTGATGGAAGTAGAATCAGACACCCACAGCTAGAAACTGAGCCAAACTCCTGGAATCCAGTTGCAGAGAGGGATGAGTGATGAGCAAAGGAGTCAAGACCAGGCTGGAGAAAACCACAGAAACTGCTGACCTGAACAAGGGAGAGCTCATGGACACCAGTCTGACAGCTGGGAAACCAGCATAGGACTGACCCAGACTCCCTGAATGTGGGTATTAGTTAGGAGGGCTGGGAAATCTATGGAGCCTCTGGTAATAGATCAGTATTTATCCCTACTATACGAGTGGTCTTTAGGAGCCCACTCCACATAGAGGGATACTCTCTCATCCTAGACACTTGGGGGAGGACCTAGGCCCAGCTCCAAATGATATGACAGAATTTGAAGACTTCCCATGGAAGGCCTTACCTCCCTGGGGAACAGAAAGAGGATGGGATAGGGGTTGGTGGGGGGATCAGGAAGAATGGAAAGGTGAAGGAACATGTTTAACATGTAAAACAAGCTTGTTTCAAATTTAAATTTAAACAATTATCAAAAAAGGTATCTTTCATTGCTCTTCCACTGCATCCCTCCCCCAATTGACCATCTAGTTCCCTCATATTCTCATCCTCCCTCCCCCTCCATTACCACCCCTTTCCTCAGTTTACCCAATAGACCTCATCTGATTTTCCTTCCCTGGGCAATCCTTGTGCCCCTCTTAGGGTCCTCCTTGTTACCTAGCTTCTCTGGAGCTGTGGATTATAATCTAGTTATCCTTTGCTTTATATCTAATACCCACTTACAACTGAATGCATACTGTGTTTGTCTTCTGAGTTTGGGTTACCTCGCTCAGAATGTTTTTTTCTAGTTCCATCCATTTGCTGCAAGTTTCACGAGGTCATCATTTTTTAAAGCTGAGTACTACTCCATTGTGTAAATGTACCATATTTTTCTTATTCATTCTTTGGTTAAGGGGCATCTGGGGTGTTTCCAGTTCTGGCTATAAGCTGCTATGACCATTGTTGAGCAAGTGTCCTTGTGGTATGATTGAGCATCGGACCCACATTTATTTTGAGAAAGATGGTTTACTTCATTCCCTTGCATTTCTATCCAGGCATTGTGATACATGTATAATTCAAGTTTAGGCAGGTGGATAGAAAGTCAGGTCAACATTGGTTACAAAGAACATTTTAAGATATTCTAGTCTACATAGAAAATTCCATTATCAACAAACAAAAAAGTCAATTCATTCATCCGTTCATGCATTCATTCTTTTTCTATGCAATATACTAAATTTGGAGACATCTGGATAGTAACCATGTACTCTACCACGGAACTACACCCCAGATCCCAAACTGTGTGAAGAGTAAGGTTTTTCCTGCTGGCCTGGTCCCACACCAGCCCCAAATAACACATAGAGATGCTGTATTAGAAATAAAGCTGTAAGATAGTTACTAGTTTCTTATTGTCTTAAATATTAACCCATTTCTATTAATCTAAGTATTTCCATGTGGACTTACCCTACCAGAGAGAGAGGGGCCTGCATTCTGCTCTCTCTGTCCTCCATCTTGAATCTCCTCTCTACTTCTTCTTCTCTCCTCCTGTCTCCTAGTCCTGCCTATCTTGCTTTCCTATTTGCCAACAGTGTTTTATTCATTAACCAATATGAGAAACATATGTATAGAATGATATCTCTCATCAAAACTGTTCTTTGATTTTTTTTTCCGGTGTACTCTAACTTTGGTTTTAAGTGGCAGTTTGACTTTAAAATCATTTGACTATTCAGTTTAACCTGTCTACATAAAAACAAATAATATGAGGAAGATAAAATTATAGGTCTATATATGGATTATATTTGGGGTTTGAAATATCGCAAAGCAGTTAACAGTATTTTTTCACTATTTATGGAAAATGTTAACACAGTACATAGCTGTATAAGAGTCTGTATAACCCTGAATTTGTCTTCTGTCCTTAGCCCCTAACTTTGTTGGGCTGAATCATTTTATATTCTTAATAGTTTGGATAATGGTTGTCTTTCCAGTAGCCTTCTGCACGCCATGCTGTCTTTGCTCACTTCCTCTCAGGCCCTCTGCCTCCCTCCAGTCTCCTCCCCTGAGTCTCCACATCTCTACTGCTCTCTATACTTTCGTCTATCCTTTAGTCTTCCACCTCTCTGCTCCCTTGATATCCCTTTTTCTACCTACAATGATCACAGTTCTGTCTCCCCATCTGTACAAATGTATCTGCCTCTCCTTTTTCAGCTTGGCCTGGAGAAGAACTGGCAGATGAACATGTCCTGCATGGTGGAATGCCCCTTGAACTGTCAGCTTTCAGAGTGGTCTTCTTGGTCGGAATGCTCTCAAACATGCGGACTCACAGGTTGGTTTGGGTTACAATTAACATTACCCTAGCTGTCAAGCCACACCAAACAAAATACCTCTCTAGTGATAAATGGTATCAGGTGAGCTCCACAAAGGCATCTTCCTTGTGAAAATATATGAGGGCCTGCTCCAGGGTCTCCTCAAGAGAGACATCTATGATACTTTCTCCCAATAATATATTCATCAATCTGCATGACCGTAACATCACACTAAAGTTGTATCATGTTATATTTTTAAAGGAAAAATGATTCGGAGACGAACAGTGACCCAGCCCTTTCAAGGCGATGGGAGACCCTGCCCTTCCCTGATGGAGCAGTCCAAGCCTTGCCCAGTGAAGCCATGCTATCGTTGGCAGTATGGCCAGTGGTCTCCATGCCAAGTTCAGGTATCAAACCTCAGGAAGCTATGTGAAGGTGGCATTTTCGATCTGCTAAGACTTGGTTCTAGAAATATTTTTGAGTTAGAGAGATGGTCATTCTTCTCATCAACATTTAGTCTTAGCCACTTCCCAATCTTTTAATTAGTTTTGAGAACAAGCACCCTTGTCCTGTACTTTTAAAATCATTTGGAGACTGATTCCTTCTAATGAAAATTTATTTGCCTGTCTTAGTCTAGGAAGCACTATGTATGCTTTATAGTATGTGCCCTATAAGGCTTCTTCCCTGTGGTTTCCAATGTTTCTCTAGCTACTCATAAATCAAAATCAGTGATGCAGAAATGACTACAAGCCATGAGCTCTCTAATGAATTATTTTTTTCCTTTTCTAATTAGCTGTTTCTCCCTCCATTCCAGGAAGCCCAGTGCGGAGAAGGAACCAGGACACGGAACATTTCTTGTGTAGTGAGTGATGGCTCACCTGATGATTTCAGCAAAGTGGTGGATGAAGAGTTCTGCACTGACATTGAGCTTATCGTAGATGGTAATAAACAGATAGTTCTGGAGGAAACCTGCACCCAACCCTGCCCAGGTAACAACAGAACAGAATTCATACTTTAGAGACATCTTCCTGGAAACAGGAAGAGGTAATGTATATAGTCCAAGTGAAGGGTATCAACAATCATATTCAGTAATACCTGTACTAACAGCATAACACCATACCCGTGGGTCAGAAATCACTGCATTACTGCAGGGGATAAGCTCTCTAGTACCCTGAGCTGCATCTCCAACCCATACATACATACATACATACATACATACATACATATATTGTCTTCTAAGGAAGACAAATTTGACACAGTATTTTTTAAAGAGTAGAATATGAATTAAGAAAAACAGCATTTTTCATCTCTGACAGGTATGGTGCAAATTTATTTCCCCAGTGGATTTGATCAAAATATTAAAGTGTATTTAATATTAGAAGTACTTCACTCTCATATTGTTATTGCATCTTGACATAGATATTTCAAGATGATGGTTATGTAGTGAACAGACTACAACAAAATATAATTATTGGATTTCTCTGCAAATGCATGATGATATCAAATAAAGATACATATAGAGATTAAGCCTACTCACACAAAATAGAGAGATTAAATTTCCATTCAGCTTGTAGTCACTTAGGTAAAGTTATCATACATACATAAATACATACATACATACATATATTATCAGGTTTCCCTGGTAAATTCTGGGTAACCCAAAATGTGACTACTCAGAGACACAAACATTTCTACAATGTTCTTAAATTATCTCGCTGGTTGCTTTTTTACTTGGCATTTCCAAAATATCCTAGTCTTTTTTTTAAGCTTCCTTTTTATTTATTCTTTCTGTCTTTTACATTATGCTTACCATCTCACCCATCTCCCTCCACCCATGAAAAATAAAACAAAGTAAAATATAAGATAAAAGAAAAGATATAGAAATGAAGAAGGAGAAATCTCGTCATGAAATCTTCTGTGTAATAGTGAGTCACGTAGTAAGCCCTTTAATTCATATTATTACTTTAATGGTTATGGTGGCACACACTTGTAGAATTTGCTGAAGAGGGTAGAGACAAGAGAATCACAAGTTCAAAGCCAGCCAGGACCCTCTCATCTTTGGCTCAACCTATTTTTTTTTTGGTCTGATACATGAAAAGCAATCCTGATGCCTCAGTTATTCTGAAACATGGCTATCAAATAGAAAAACACTAAAATCCATAATTTGAATTCATTCTACTTCCTAATTCAAGCTTTAAAAGATAAAAGCTAATGAGTCCCCAGACTGAGCACTGGGAATCCAGCATGGGACTGACTCAGACACACCCCCCCCCAGAACATGTGTCTCAAATAGCATGCCTGAGCAGCCTAAGGATCATCATACAGTGGAAACAGGATGTATTCCTGATGCACAAAAGGACTTTGGGGCACATCCCCTATGGAGGGATAGTCCCTTAACCTAGAGACAGGAGAGAAGGCCTAGTCTCTATTCCAAATGACTTGACAGATTTAGATGACCCCTCCTAGATGGCATCACCCTACATGTGGAGTGGGGGGAGGGGGAGGGTAGTCGGGGTGCATGTGAGGGGGGAGAGAGGGAAAGAGAGAGGGAGGGAAGGAGGGAGGAGGGAGGGGGAACTGGGATTGATATGTAAAATAAAAATAAAATAAAAGTTAAGATAAAAGCCTAAAATAACAATATCTAGCATGAAAGCAGGCTTATCATTCATGTGACTAGGACAGTAGCAGATTCTGTAGACTAACTCTATTATTTAAGCTCTTGTATTAGGAGGTATTGCTCTTAATTCTTTGTCTCTTTTTTATTAATGAAATTTACTCTGTTTTTCACACCTTGATTTTTAAAATAATATTTTATTAATTCCTTGAGAATTTCATACAATATATTTTAACCATATTACTCCCTCCCCCACTGGTCTCAGATCTGCCACCACCACCTCTGGACCCAACCGGCTTCCATCCCCTTCTCCCTCCCTCTTTCACCCTCTTAATCCCATTCTCCCTCACTCCTCTCTCTCCCTATCCCCCCCTCTATTTATATCTCTAACTCTCCCCTTCTCTTCCTCTGTTCTTTCCTGTTCTCAAAATATGGAAGATGTTGGATGCATCCATCTATTCCTATGCATATACTCAACAAAATAACACACGTAATGTATATGTTCAGAACTGATTTGTCCTTCAATATTTGCAATGAAACTATTTAAACATGTAATAGATCTTACAAATATGAGTGAGTGAAAATTGTAAATAAGTGTGTGTGTGTGTGTGTGTGCGCGCGCGCGCGCGCACGCGCGTGTGTATTTTATATATATAATCATGGTATTCTAGCAATAACATAATGGGAGATTTCTAAGGATATTGGAATGGCCTGTTCTTGATTAAATGTTGATTAAATAGATATATAATCAGACTGTGAATTTCTGGTATTTGGCATTTTGCAGGTACTATGTATTTTCCTCAAAGGGGGTGTGATTGGATGGAGACATAGACTAGAAGAAATAACCAGTATCATTTCCCCTATATAAACTTAGTAACCTGCCTCAGTTTGACTCCTCTAGGAAGAAAAAGATAGCATATACTCACTAGGTCTCTGTTACAAATAGTTTTCCTGCCAGTCTGGTCCCACAGCTGCATCAGCCCCAAAAAACACACAGAGACTATATTAGATATAAAGCTGTTGGACTATTACTAGCATTTCTTATTGGCTAGCTCTGTCTTAAATATTAACCCATTTCTATCAATCTAACTATTTCCACATGGTCTTATCTTACCAGAGACAGTTCTGTTCTCTTCATCCTACATGTTGAATCTCCTCCTACCTCTCCCCGAAATCTCCTTGTCTCCTAGTCTCACCTGCCTTAATTTCTTATTGGCTAACAGGGCTTTATTCATTAATCAATAAGAGAAACATATTTATAGAATGATATCTCCCATCAGGTCTCTCATCTAGAACTACCAGCTCACATAAATTTATGAATATCTAGAGACAAGTTCTATGTATTCTTAGGTTTTACTGGCCCATTTTACAATAACAACAAAAGTCATGTTAGCTTTTAGCCAAATACTATCCATCTCTTAGGAAATGATCACGATGGGCAAAGTCTTTCAACTTATGTAGCTTATGTTTTATACCATTAAGACACATAGAGACTCTCAGTCACTCCAAACAACATATTTACTACATATAAAATAATAGTTATTGTTTATCCAAGTATCATAAACATCATGCATAACTAGCATACTTACAAATATGGCCTAGCACAGTTGGAATCAAAATGAGTATCTGCATCACTGTCCCCATGGGTATAAATTACCAACATATTTCTTACAGGTGACTGCTATTTGAATGAGTGGTCCTCATGGAGTCTTTGTCAGCTGACCTGTGTGAATGGTGAGGATCTTGGCTTTGGTGGAATCCAAGTTCGATCGAGAGCAGTGATTATACAGGAACTGGAGAATCAACATCTGTGCCCAGAGCAGATGTTAGAAACAATGTCATGTGATGGTGAGTGGTTCCAATCATGAATTCTATTCATATGGTTGTGTTCCACTTTCTGTTGAATGACTGGATTTGTTAAATTTCTTTTTATACTTGATAATTAAATTAAAAGTAACATTCTGAGAGCCCAAGGATGTGCTTCAGTAAGTAAAGTGCTTGCCATGCAAGGATGAAGGCCTGAGTTTGAATACTCAAAGACTGGAGGCAGAGACAGAAGAATGTCCAGCAGTTTGAGAGCCAGCTAGCCCAGTGTACTCAATAGTAATGAAAGACAGAGTCTGTCCCAAACCATGTGGATTACTAACAATATAGGTTGTTCTGCAACATACATCCAAGTACATATCTCCAGATTTTATATGTACACAGAGAGAAAGACAGAGACAGAGACAGAGGGACAGAGAGACAGGGAGACAGAGAGCAAAATACTGGTTTTAAAATGTGTAATGTTGTAAAAATATCTCCTAGATTTAAAGATTACCTAGGCCTAATTAGTATCATTGAATATTTGTAACACTTATGATCAAACACAACATTAACATTTTTCATTTGTCTAACAAATGGAAACAAGTAACAAAATTAAACACTATAAATCATAGTAAAATTAGAGTCTTTAACATAGTCTAAGAAGCTTATAAATAAATTTACTGGTAAGAATTAGAAATTTCAACTTCACAATAATTGGACATAGAATACCATGGGAATACATGTCTGTGTGTTTATGCATGGATATGAACATATAGAAGCATTCCTTCATTGTTTGCAGCATACTCTGTATTCAGAACCTCAATGCATTACAATGAGAGAATTTGGGTTGAGTGTCCTCTTGATAACAAGGAAAGACTTGGTATCTAGTGGAGAATGTAAGGCTCAAATTCTTAGCTTTATTCTGTAATGGTTAAGAAATGTGACACATAACTAATAGCAAGTAGGATGAAAAGTATGACCTTAGGTCAAAAAACCAGAGGAGGAGACCTAAGATGCTGAGAACACTTAGAATCAAAACTAATGACTAGATGACTTAAACTAGGAATTAAGTAAAATTACCTACCTACCTGACATATATGCGTCAACATAACCTTGCTAAATTTACCAATTACATAAAATATCCTGGTTCTGAGGACAGAATAGGCAAAGGAGTACAGAAGCTTGAGGTCAAGGGAAAGAACTGTTATTCTTAAATGACAGCGAGGTCATATAGAAATCGATAGTACAACTACAGAAGAAATCCTCTCCTACACACATAAGCAAAATCTGGAAGCCATAAAGACTGTTACCTGTCATCAATTAGTAAAGAAAGCAGTGTTTAGGGTAGAATTAAAGCCTTATATGGTCACACATGTGGGGCAGAGCAAATATAAGCAGCATATTCAAATCAAGAAGTTTTATTTTTCAAGAGTAAGTAGATATGTAAGGATAAAAGCTCAAGAGAAAGAGACCATGAGTTTGAGGAGTGGGAGAAAAGGGAAATGAGAGGTTGGGAATGGAGGACAAGGATAGTAAAATCCAGTAATTATATTTTAATTAAATTTTAAAAATCAGAAAATGGGAAGTAGTATGCAACCTATATAGATACAAATTGGATGAAGCAGAGAACATAGACAGTCAACAGAAATAATAATGTGTTTTATATGACAATGGAACAAAATAAGCACATCATAGAAAATAGGTAAAGGAAAAAAGTTAACAATACTACAAGTAGAAAACTGTTTAGAAAATATAATTCTATATAGAATTTTACTAATAAACATGAAAATGTAAATGAAGATAACTTGTGGCATTATTAATCTATCAACAGTAACAGAAAAGCTATGCCATGAATTTTTTAGCTACTACAAATTCAAATGTATTAAATTTATATTCACATTTAATATAATATAAAATGTGACTGAGTACCCATGTATAATAAAAATCTGTAAACCAAACTTGGAAGAAAATGTTCATACTAAGTCACTTGAATATATAAGTATTTGGAAGTGAGGAAAAAGCTTACAAACATGATTTTTAAGCTAACATTTAAATGATTAGTCTTTATCAGGAAAATTCAATATTAAAATTTTTACTAGAAAAAAATTATACTTAAGTGTGGTGATATCTTGCTTGTACAAATAAAGCCTGTCTGAAGGTCAGAGAATGGAGGGACTTGCCAGTAGCTAACCATAGAAGTCTGGAGATCTGTATAGAGAGGCAGGAAGTGAAATGGCTGGGCAGAGAGAGGATATAAACTAGAAGAAACAAAAACTGGATATTTTGTCTGTTGAGATGCTAAGGAGGTAAGGTGTGGCTGTGGCTTGCCCCTTCTTCTCTGTGATCTCTCAGTATTTTCCTCTATATCTGACTCCAGGTTCTTATTAATTAGACCAATTAAGAGCTCCATTTACATATTTATGCCCAACATGGAGTCAAACCCACAACCCTGAGATTAAGAGTCTAATGTTCTTTCATGTTCTACCAACTATGCTAGCTGAATTTTTTTTAATTAATTATGAACTGTTTGGCCAATGGTTAAAGCTTCTTATTGGCTAGCTCTCTCTTATTAACCCATTTTTTGTTAGTCTATGTATTTCCACGTGGTATTGGCTTACCTGAAAATGTCCAGGCACCCTACATCCCCAGTGTGTACACAGTGTCTTGCTGATGACTCACTCTTTCTGTCTTCTACCAGCACTCTCCTAGTCTGATATCCCCACCTATCTTTCCTGCCTGGCTACAGTCTGCCTGTCCATTTGCAGAAACAGCTTTATTCATCACCCAATAAGAAACATACATTCACAGCATACAGAATGATATCCCCCATCTTAATCTATATCTAAATCTAACAAAAGTGGTGTAAGACATGTATGAAAAAAGACATAAAATCTTAACAGAAATAAGTAAAGGATTAAATATTGATGCAGTAGAACAGTTCACAGATGAATAGCTCCAGTGCCACACGCATTTTACACATATTTAATCTACAGATTCCATGTTATTTGAACAGGCTAGAAAGGCAATCTGATAAGTAGCTCCTAAGGTTAATTTGGCTATTAAATACAAAATGAACCACGAAATTTTTGAAAACAAAAATTAAGAGAAGATTTCACTAGCCTTTTCTTATGACTCACTCTAAGCACTGATAGAATTTCTTGCCAATAATGGAGTAATCACTCTGGTAGGATAGGATGGAATCTTAGAGCAAATACAGCCTTACACCCAGATATGTAGTTGAACATGGAACAGAGCTACATACTCTGCTGGAACATCAAGACAGCCTGGGCTTCCTGCTGCATACATTGATGACCACTACTTAAATTTAATAACTTCCTCATTTCAGTGAGAAAACATGGATGTCGATAATAAACAAAATGGCTGAAATAGAAATAGGCCATTTTAATCAAAGGAAATCCAAAACATTCTTTAAACCTTTTGATAACTTTAGTTATCAATAATTTATTTAATTATAATAAGGCAGATTTTTATATACCCACGACTGATTAAAAGAGATTAAATGTGTTATTCTGAGTCTTCCTGTTATGCAGAGAGAGGGAAATAGAATCACTACTACAGTTGGGTATTTAAATGTTTGCCTTGCAGTGCAAGAGACAAACACTGTTTATCAAAGTTTCAAATGTCTACATTTATACCAGAGATTTCTCCTCTAGATATTTATATTTTAAAAGCACAGATGTAAGTGTCTCAGGCTGACCAATAAGGCATTTTAATGGCAATAATTTAGAATAACAAACCATTGAATAAATTGTAATACCTGATACAATGCAATTCTATATGGCAGTTAACTGACTACATCTACATTAAAAGTCACATTCAGATAGTCTATCTTTAACAATGGCAAAAAGGCTCCTAAATTATCTATGAAACATAATTAACTATGAACCATAGTTCTGAAAAAAATGTACAAATTGTATTAATTAATATTATATAAAATGTGTACATATGTTTATATAGTAATACCAAAAAACAAAGTAGAAAGCTGTACATTTGTCTTAGAATGATGTGGACCGACTGGGACTTTAGGCAATAGGATTAGGAAATTATATCATACAATAAAAAGTTCTTGACTCATTTTATTGATAAGCAAACAAATGAAATTAAAGCAAGTATGGCTAACTGGTAATGTTTGTTAGACTACATGATAAATAGTTGAATATATTTTATAGTTAGTGATTCTCTGTATTTGTGTGTATATGTTCAATTTCCAGTGTATAAAAATAAACTAAAAAACTTTAGAATTAACCATAAATTAAATTATACATCCAGGGTCTGGCACAGTATCAGGATAGCAGATGCAGAACATTAATGGGATTTAGATCAATAACTGCAGTTTTCTCTAACTTGTTTTGTAACTTCCAGGCCATCCATTGACATTGTAATCCTCAGCAATAGACTTCATGTCACCTTCTAGTTGTTCATACATGTGTTGTTGCAAACCCTCTCTCATGATGGCCCTGAGTAATGAAACATCAGTGTTTGCTCTCTGCCTGCAGATGGACAGTGCTACGAGTATAAGTGGATGGCAAGTGCTTGGAAGGGCTCCTCTCGAACAGTCTGGTGTCAAAGGTCAGATGGTGTGAATGTAACAGGTAAAACACCAATATCTTGTTTTTCTGAATCTATTCCTGTGACACATATGTAGTTGAATACTGAAGGACATTCAGTTGGTAACCCTGTTGGAATCAAGAAATACGTGTTACAAACATGTGTGTTAACCTGTGACAAATTATTTTATTTTAAAATACTTCCATGTTCTCTCTTACCTATCACCTTTGAACATTAGGATATATTTAATTGAATATAAGTGAATATAAGTGGTTTCCTGATTTTTCCCTAGAGATTTTATACATTAACAAATTACTATATACAAACAAAACAATAATTATGCCTTTTACTAGTTCTGTTTGTGTACTTTGAAAGTGATACAGATCAAGGTATTATGTACGTATGACATAATCTAGTTGAATTATCAAATCTATTATTAAGACAATTTTTGATTAATAAGAAAGATTTGTCAGTAAATTCATCTAAAAGGAACATTTGTTATATTCTATCACAAACAATTATTATACTTCCAAAGGAGAAAATTAAATTAAGAAGGTTTTTGAAAGATACTTCCAATGGACTTCTTTAATCTACAAGTTCTTTGTGAACTCAGTGAAGTCAAGGGCTCATTCCAAACACCTATTGAAGGGAATAGAAACTTCAGGCTGATTATATATTGAATAGCTTGCAAACTTCATGGAAAAAATCAAGGTCAGAAACAGAACCTCAACTTCAAACACATAACTACAGATTTAAAATGTTTTTTTTTCCTTAATTGTCATTTTAAAAATAATTTAGTTGTTAGGAATCTCCATGTCACAGGCAGTAGGGATATTGACTGTCAGCTGCCCAGGGCATCTGCTGACTTGGGGTTCTTGCTTCAACTCTTCTGCAAGAAAAACAAAGTAGTATGCACCAGAGTGCCCCTGAGAAACACCACTTGTGATTTAACTTTCACATATACAGTGAGGTCATAGGATCCAGCCAGAATCAATGTGCTTCTTGGAAAACATCAATTTTTATATTGAGTTTCAAGTGACCCAGGTTTATTGAAACCTAATTACTTATTTCTTCCCCCATTAAAGCAAGAATAGAATGTCAAATTATATTTTTATGAAGACAGGATTTTTCATGAATAAAAGCTACACCAAGAAGACTTTGAAGATAGCATCTCCCAGTGGACATACAATATATAATAGAACCACTCCTACCAGGAAGCTCTTTGCTTTCTCAACAGTATTATTTGGAGAAGGAAAATAGTCAAACTGAATTCCATTCAAAGAGGAATGGGTGATAAAAAGCACAGACAAGGAAGTGTAGCCATTGCAAAACAGGTGTCTCAGATGTCATTCACTTAGCTCAGATATTGGGAAGGAATATACTTCATTTTTTAAATGATTCTTAGGGAAACTTATAGTTTCCTAAAAGGTTCTACTTGATTCAAAGTTTTTGTTTTTTGTTTTTTTTTTTAATGTAGAAGCAAATAATATTTGTCTGCCGGAGTTTTGTTAAGCTGAGTAAGTATAGTTTGAAACCATGACTCCCACCTATATCACCAATACTGGTCCTTTAGGGCAACTGTCTCCATCTTTAAGAGTGTAATAACAGGCAATGAACAGTTTGTATTGTATGTGAGAAATAAATCAGAAGAATTAACTTCAGTGCCTAGCTGGGCAATAATTCAAGCCAAAGACTTGCTAGTTACTTTGTCCTTCTCAGCAACCACAAGTATCTGGAATTAACAAGAATAGTTATTTTCCTCAAAATAAATATGCATTATAATAAACACTTTTGTGGAATGGTCAAAAAGTTGAAAAGTTGCTTTTGAGGGATATGAAAACGACCATATTGAGTAGACAAGAAAGGTATTTACTATAAAATAAAAGTAAATCTGTTTTGCTTTCCAATTACTGGGCTTGGCTTGAGGAAATAGGTTCTATGACCTATTTTTATTCTATTATCAGAAATAGGTTATATGAAACTAGCATTTCAAAAATAGCAGCTACAAAATCAGCTTCTTGGCAATTTGTCTTGGATACTTACAAAGCACAAGGCACAGTGCTCTCACCTGGGTAAAAGGTTCCAAGTTACCAATGAAAGTGATGATAGTTAACAAGCCATTTCACAAATTCAGGAATTCTTGGAGATTTCCAAGTGGCTCAAACTTCAAAGACAAGTCTATAACAGTGTGTATGTTTATCACAGCACGAGGAGCCACTTGTTATTTTCTGTTTTGCAGGGGGCTGCTTGGTAGTGAGCCAGCCTGATGCTGACAGGTCTTGTAACCCACCGTGTAATCAACCCCACTCATACTGTAGTGAGGTATGTGCACATTCATTAAGATGGAGAAGCGACCTCCATCGTTTGCCACCCCACTGTCCCATGTACAGCCCCTCCCCTGTACCCAAAAGGCCATGACTGGAGGCAGGAACCATCCACTTCAAAGCATCTCTTTTTACCTTTATGAACAAGTCTTAATGTACTTCATTTATTTACCTTTAGAACGACTTTGCACTGCAGCACAGGGAGGCGGGCTTCATGTAGCTAAAGCAGAAATTGCATGCAGTAAATTCTCATAAAAATGCTTCCTAATGTCCCTTTTCAAAGTAAGCTTAGTTACGGTTTCCAAGATCACCTTGCACGTGTAGTGTAAACCTCGCTGTTCTCCTGCAGATGAAGGCATGTCGCTGTGAAGAAGGGTACACTGAAGTCATGTCTTCCAACAGCACCCTTGAGCAATGTACACTTATCCCAGTGGTGGTGATTCCCACTGTGGAGGACAAAAGAGGAGATGTGAAAACCAGTCGGGCAGTTCACCCAACCCAACCCTCCACTAACCCAGCAGGACGGGGCAGGACCTGGTTTCTACAGCCATTTGGGCCAGGTGAAACACCCAGACACTGAACACAGAATTCTTTACATAGACATTCCACTAATAAGATATTATTTTTAATAACCGAGCATTTTCAAATAAATGATTATTTCATAACCCATTTACTCATTTTAACATTGCATCTATGTCATCTTATTTACCTTGCCCCAAATGCATAGAAATGAATTTACTTTTTTCAAAACAATTGTTGATATTACTTATCCAAAGCCCAGTCCTAAAGTTATAAGTATACTAAATACACATCATTAAATAAAGCTGTATGATAATGAAAATAACTAGAAAAATATGTTTTCACCTACAATAAGCTCAAATAAGACTACAAAGACATTTGGAGTTTTCAGTTTAACCATACAGACTATGTGGCATGAACCTTCTTCATAAAGAGCATGAGCAATGCTTCCCACACCAAGGACACTCAGGTGGTAGAAGGATAAGTAACATCCCCAAAGTTGATGTTCACATCCCCTAGAATCCACACTAGTGCAGATATACAGAGTCAATGTTAGAACCTTCCTTTCTTAATGGAACAATCCAAACTTGGATGCTGACTATTGTCATATTACAATATATACTCAGTATACCCAGTAGGATTCCAATGCAGGAATAAGTCTACAGGCATGAGAAAATTCTACTTTCTATTTTGCATATTCTAACTGGAATAAATAGTATACACTTGTCTCCAAGTACAAAAAGTACCCCACTAGTACTCCATAAGCAATGTGGATTCTACCTCTTTCTCCCTCACCATGGAAAAGATCCATGCAAAGCCAGACATAACTAACTTTATAATTCCATTAGAAACATGAGAAATGAAGGGAGAAAACTGCATAGCCAGCATACCTCTATTTATGATCCATTAAGTACAAGTATTTCCCTTGCTAAAGAACCAATATTGAATTTTTAAGGTGTTTTAAATATCTGCGTGATTACCTTTATCCATATAGTCACTGCTTTTATTGGAATCTTAGCTGAAAATACAGTTGAGTTTTGAAAAGCTGATTTGTCTATAAAGATGTTAGAAACATTCCTCTCCAAGTTAGGAGAGCAAATTACCATTTAACAATTTTGACCTGAACTAAGAATCTAAACAGATCTCCACAAATGAGACAACTTTTCTCAATTTAAATTATTTATTTAATAATTTCCAAAAATGAATATATTAAAATAGTAAAGAGGTAGACATCCTTTGTTTTTGAATATTTGCTAAATTTTACAGCAAAGAAACCTAGTAGTATAATTTCTCTTTTGATTCCAAACTCAATTCAAAAAAAGAAAAAGAAAGAAAGATAAGAAAAGGGAAAAAACACTTTTAAATCTCCACATTTAAAAGGAAGAGATATTTGAATATTAGCTGAACTTATTTCCAACAACTTGGCCTCCAATGAACAAAGTATCTAGTACTAATTAGCATAAATACTTTTTAAATATTGTATAAATCTCACAGAGTCAATTTCATAATCTTATCATATTGTAATATGAGTACTGTCTACATACTTGTATGCAGGCAACAGACAATGTATGCTAATGTTAGCATCAAATTAATTTAGGCAATATCATCCCTAGCAACATGTTTGAAGTTTACTCAGAGACTAACACTTCAAGGACTACAAGACCAAAAACTGAACTAGAATAGTACCTGTCACATGTGATACCACATATCAGAAAAATTAGCAAAGGGACATTAAAATAATTGCTATGTTATTCTATGTGATCATCTCTGAAAATTCTATTATTGCCAAGGTACACTAAAAATACAGACTAGATAAAAGATTGTAATTGCAAAACGAATAAGTTAGGGTGTTAATTTTCATATGGTACAAAACTGTTGAAATCAATAGCAAATGGTCAAATACCCATTGGTATCAACTCCAGTTTTTATGTATTTCTCAAAGGCTGCATTATTTTTTTTAATTGTTTTAATGTAACATGCCATTCCAGAAGTAGGTGGAAAAGTCAAAACATCTGTGACTAGAACTACATACATATTGAATTTAAGATAAGATTTCATATAAAGAGTTTAGACATGAACTCAACATCTGAACATAAACACAATTTGTTGCTTTTCAACTGTTTCCATTGCTAATTCCCCTGAGGGCAGTACTGCCTAACTCCTAGTAGCTACTTCACATCAGTGATAACTGTGCTAGGAAAGAATTCATATCAAGTTTTGAACAGAACTGGTCATATGTGACTGACCATGGGTCATAGTTCAAACCTGTAATATATGTTCCAGACTAATGTAAACTAATGACTAATCTCTGTTTTTCTTAGATGGAAGACTAAAGACCTGGGTTTATGGTGTCGCTGCAGGGGCATTTGTACTGTTAGTCTTCATTGTTTCCATGATTTATCTAGCTTGGTGAGTGAGTAAATGTTTCAGAATCTAGAAGGATATATAAGATTATTATTTTAAGGAAAAATCTTTCAGCTGCCAGTAACATAGGAACAGACTAGTGTGAGATGCATATGCTGTACTTACTCCATCTTCACACAAAGTTCTGATTTTAAAACATAAACTTTAAGATTAGAGAGCCTAAAATCTGTCTACCATGTCTGAGTCATTCAGATTGAATAAATGAGTCAGGGATGTTCTAGGTCATTTTTTTTCAAGATTTTTCTCATGACTAAATGACGAAGGATGTTGGTTTTCATCAATGGTATGAAATATGTGTTTTAACCTGAATTTTCCCTAGAAGAAGATGTGATAATTCTTATTTACCTATATTTGTAAATGTCCATTATTTATAAAAGTTCTTGAACAAACCCAAAATATATTATATAACCACTTCTTTTGCTATCAACCAAGAAATTGATTAATTTTGCTTTTACAAAATAGTTGGATGCCTTGACATGGCTTCTTGGAACTGTGAAACTCAAAGAGATCACAAAGTCATATTCTAAAAGGCAATGTGGAAAATAATCAATTTAGATTTGCCATTTTATTTTGTTTTTCTTTTTAATTTAAAACAATAATATTTAACATGAAACACTGACTTTCTTCAATTTTTCCTGAACTTCCTACAGCAAGAAGCCAAAGAAACCTCAAAGACGGCAAAACAACCGTCTCAAACCTTTAACCTTAGCATATGATGGAGACGCTGATATGTAACATTGACTATTCCTGGAAACAACCAGACATGGCCTTTTGCCGTTGTTGTAGACACCCAGGGGCCACAGTGCCAGTATTCAAATGTGTGAAATATAATTAACTTAAACTGTTAACGAACACCATCATGACGAAAAAGAGAGAAAAAAAACCTTCCTCCCACTTAGAGTATTCAGGACAGTACCAATGACATACATATAGAAAGTCAATCTTGAGACTTCTAGGAGATGCAGTGGAATGCATGTTGTATCTCGAGAGTTTTGTATCATCTTTTCTGAAATCTACCAAAACCACTTTGATCCCTAAAAGGCAGTGAGGAAATTGCCCAATTGGGAAGGCAGATGCAAGACTGCTTACAGCACCAATCTACAGAACTTTCTAGCATGAAGAGTTCATAATGAAGCTTTTACAATTCTACACTTAAGCATACAACATGTATACTCGGTCAGATGATGCCATCTTATATACTTATATACTTGTTAATAATCAACGTCTAACAGCGACAAAGATAAAAATCCTATGCTAGAGGGAGAACCCATTGGACAATTTAGCATCTTCATTATTGATGGTAGCTTTTATTGCCCTGCATTTCAGAGACAAACTCTTATCTCTCTCCAATGTGTGAATGCTGGACGTGTACTAGTACCTTAGAAGATGGGATCCTCAAGTTCGGTATTTTATAGTGGGTATTGTCTAGAAAACAGATATGCTTGTGTTAATACATTTCTACTCTCCCTAAGTTCACACTGGTTGCCTACATCTTTTATGCTATATGGAAGGCACATTTTGCACTATATTAGTGCAGCATGATAGGCACTTAACCAGTATTGCCATAGGAACTGCCTCTTTTCATGTGTGATGAAGACATCTGTGCCAAGAGCACTGTGGAGACATTTGCAAGCTTTTGTACTCAGAAGAGAATTAGTTCAATCTTAATGGTAACAGGATCGAATCTGCTGTCTACACTCTTCCTTCTCACTACAGCCATTATGAAATTAACAAAACGGCAAGAATTCAAGTGTTGAAGTTCCTAACCTATCAATCTCCAAAAGGTGGAAGCCCCTGGTTGGGTTGCAGTTGCTCTTGGAAGGCTGTTTCTGATGAGATTTATATATTTGTTATCTTTGTTTAAAAAAATAAGAAGAAAAGAAAAGAAAAAAGGACTGGTTGTCTTCGTAATTTTGAGCAGATGGAGAAAATAATGTACTGATGATTTTTGTAACAAAAAAAAAAAAAAAGGTCACAATTATGTGTTAACTTTTCTTTCTTCCTGATTTGATTTTTCTGTGTGAGGTTGACATTCTGCCATGGAGGCCGTATTTCACTTTTGCCTTTCTCATGACTGAAATCTGAAGCAGTATGATTTTAAAACCTAAAACTTAAAAAGAGAAGAGTGAATGATCTAGTCCAGAGCTTACTTTAACATCTAGAGCAAGGGCCACAAGGCTTTTAAGCAAAAGATCAAACAGGAAATGTTTTCAATCGGGTCTGTAGTTGAGCTCACAACACTGCCATTGGTCCAGAGAAGATATTCCACAGGAAAAACAGTGACATCACTGTTTTCCACAAAATAATAATAATAATAATAAACAGGCTACATTTGCATGTCTTAGTTTATGGACCCACCTTGCACTGTAGTTGTGTTTGTAGAGCTAACTCTATGTTGTTCAATCATTAGTTTTCAGTTGGTTACTCTCTGTCTACCAGGTTTAATCTCACAGGTTATTTTATAGTCATTACTTATGATTGTTGGAGAAGTAATTCTATGTACACTGGCACAGCTGGAATATGTGACCATGGAATATTTCTCAATTCTTTCTTCTAAAGAAGAAGTTAAACTATGTTGTGAAAAACAAACAAACAAAAAAACAAAAAACACAATCACATATTTCTGGCAGTAACTTCTGCAATTAGCCTCTGGACCATTATGCTTTCCAGTCTTTTAAATACATTAAACACCTTTGGGTTTTTTACTTTGTTTGTTTGTTTGTTTGTTTGTTTGTTTTTAAAAGCTTAAGCACTTGTGTGTTGCTGGAAGTGTGGTTTGGGTGGTGAGGTATTTGCCTTCATAGACTGGGTATGAGCTCCCCCTGCTGTCCATTAGAACAGCATTTTCTGCAAAGATTACAAAAGAATCCTGAATAAGAGGATGTTGTAATCCCCTAAATGAAAATCTTTATATATAATGCAATATCAAAAAATGATAAGTGTTTCTTATTTATTCCAAGTGTAAGGCTTTAGATGATATATGTCATTTCAAAGAGAGCAGACAGGAAGATGACTTTCACTGTAAGCCAAGGATTTAGTTGAGGTAAAACGAAAAGGAAGGAAAATAATATTCTTATTCTAAAACTGTGATTGTACACACACACAAAAAAAAACACCACAAGCCTTCAACATAATCCTTAAATTAATCTCTTTGGATAAAAAAAGCTTTTATGATTATGATTTTTTCATGATTATGAAACATAATTTGTTGTGATTAGGTGGAAATTGTAACAATATGATGAATGTTGGCCACACCTTGCATTCTTTAGATGGGGAATAAAATGAGATTTCATTTCTTACACAAGCTACACTCAAGGTATTTTATGAAATGTGATTAATTATAAAGACAAGTCAGTGTTCGCTTACCTGGGACATAATAATCAAATAAGTTTTAAAAATCATGTTGTAAAATATTGTGAAATGAAGGATGTTTATGAATAAATATATTTAAAACTACATTAATGTTGGGGAAAATTGGATATACAGTATGAGGATAAATCAATACTGCATGGATTCTTGTTAGAGATGGAGAAATGTATCCACTTAGATAATTTGGACAAATGGACAGTTATTATACTCATGTATAATGGCTTTATTGAGCTTCTAGGGAAAGAAATACTGTAACTTCACCAGAACTTTATTCTCTTGGTTCATCTAATAATTCAGGAAGTAAACAGTAAAAAATTTTCTATTGACAACCTTTGACTTTCTGTGGGCAGAAATAGAAGGAGAGGGAGACAGAAAGGGAGGTAAAGAGAGAGAATGGAGGTAAAGAAGGAAGGAGGGAGGAAGGAAGCAAGCAAGGAAGGAAGGAAGGAATAGAGACTTTCTATTTGATTTTAAGAACAAAAGACAATTGCAGACATGTATGGAATTGTGTTGAACTATCCCAGGAAGAGTGGCATGGGTGATATTCCTTGAGAGGGGCTGATTTGCCTGTTCATCAGTACCCATCCAGTATACTGATTATAAATAAGCTCTATTTCAAACCTTTTTTGAGTGTAGCTTAAGCTAATTGAAAAGGAGTACATTAAAGCATGTCTTTAATTATTTATATAATAAAGCACAAATTACTTATAAGAAGACATATTTATTGAGTTATCACATGTAAGACACTCAGCTGGGCACTTAAAATTAATAAAGGCTTTGTATATGTACGGTATTAAGACCTCCAAAAGAAGAAAAGCAAGCATGCTTCATGAGAGGTGCCTGCATTGGGACACATTACTACACATTTTTTATAAGCATGCTTAGTCCCTTTCCACTGGGATTCTAAATGTCAGAACATGCTGTGAGGGGTGGCAATGGTCACAATGACTTAATGAAACTGCTGAGTTCCTGAGTATCTCAAGATAAAGACATTGCTTCTGGAAGAAGAAAGTAGTACTTCCCACATAAGACTTTACCTCCTCTGACTTGCTGTATCCTTGCTTCTGTGTGATGCTTTTCTCTGCCTAGTCTCTCTAATTCTACTCTCCTCACACTTGTCATATCCTTGTCTCTTTCCCTCCAAACCACCTTCCACTAAACAAGCCCAAAAGTTTACAAAGAAAAGTGTACCATATTTATTAACTCTTCCCACTGAAACACAAACATCATTTAGGGTGTCAATATTTTATTTAAGTAGAATGTACTTACCAAAACAATGAATGAAGAGTAAAGAGTCACGCAGGTGGCACACCAAGAAAAGAATAAAAAAGAAAATCTTCAGTGTGAAAATGTCAATTTCTATATTTATATTGTTATTAAACAGTATTCCCTTATTCCCCCTATTTTCATCTAAAATTTTTGTTTTCTTCCCACTCTGCACAACATTTAAAAGGTCCATGTCTATCCGGAATGAATAGGAAATAACCTATTTCTAGGGAGAGTTAAAATCTGAATAGATGTGTAGACATCATGCTTGTCAATGTCCTGCAGTCTTATCATTTGTAATGTTTCCACATTCAGTTTGAATGTGATTTGTCCAGTTTCTGTTGTACTGAGAGAAGAGGCAGCCAACAGTTCCTGAGCAAGTCTATAAGAACCCATGCAGACCATGTTTGAACACTGGGGTCTAGTTTGGGTGTGAGAACAGAATCTCCCTGTTCCCATCATGACAGTGCCCCAGTCCTGACTTCAGATGTCCTGGCTGCCCATCAGGGATTCAGGCTTCTAACACTGAAGTGTGGACCTAGCAAGTGACTTGTTCTTGGTTTTACATTAATTTTTGTTTTTCTATCAATAATATATTTGCAGTGTGATGAAAATTCTTATGTAGTAAAGACAGTGGGAAGTGCTTATGTCTGCAATGTTAAATGAATAAATGTTAAACAAGTAGAGTTAAATATGCATTTTGATTCTGCTATGTCAAGCCAGACCAGAAACCTGGAAACATCTGATGCAAGCTACCTTGTCAGTGGGTAGAAACTTACTTTACTTAGACTATAACTGGCTATATGATTCATTGTTCTGTTTTGTAGTTCTTTGGTTTCTTTTCTTTGTTTAAGTAATCATTTATTTATTATCTAGTTTTGAGCCTCAATAAACTCCCAGAAAAAATTGCTTGTGTTTATTTTTTAAATGAAATATTTTAATTCCCTATCTGGTCCTTTTTTGTGCCCATTTTAGTCAAAGAATTTTGAGGAGATCAGTATCCATTACTGTAAAATATAATTTTATTAAATTTGTAATCAATCTTTCTTTAAATTATATGGCTCTAAGTGGGACACTTTTGTTAATTTAACTACCTGAATATTTATTTTACTGGAGTAAGGAGGCAAATGTCTGTGAATCTTTTGTTAATATTACTTTGTAAATTGTGTAATGTAATTTATTTTAAATTATGTATACTTATTTTTA